GAAACCATTCTGTAAAAAATACCATTCAACTTTGATTTTCAAGTGAACAAGTGAAGTTACGCAAGATTAATTTGCATTTGTAAACAAAACCTTTTTTATTGGTTTTTATCGATAAACTCCCGGTTACCATTACCTTTAAACACGGCCAAACCAAATTTAGTCCCTTTCTCTGTGTTTTCAGGGACTGCTTCGTCGTTATTTGAGTGATTTATTCGCTTGTCGCGGATGCAAACCGGCATGCCATTTTTTCCCGAGTTGCTAAGAGGTAAATAGCAATGGATATTCGGAGTTTGACTAGCCAGTCAGAACGCGCCTTCAACGCTATCCACGGTTTTAGTATATACTAAGTGAGAATATTGGCATCTTCTTGCCTATGAACAACACCTATCTTGCTCCTTGCTTGCAAACCATTCATAAATTACACTTCACTCTCTCCTGACAACCTCTTTCGATCATGAACCACTGCAAAAAGCCTTTCTGTTCCCCGGTCAAACACTGTTACAAAACTCTTGTAACTGACGGCGGCCACTTTCTCGAGCGTACACCTCCTTCAAAAATAGTACGCTTTATCGTGTTTTCGCCATATAATTGCTTCCCCACAAGAGCGAATCTATCATCATCACTGCCATTCGTTTCGAAACAAAATACGAATGTCGAGTTGTTGCAGCTTGCAATGAAAACAAACCTGGTGACCTTGAATTCATATGTCATCGCAAACATTTTGACTTACTTCTAAGCCTGACGCGGAACAATAACATTTTTGTCCAAAGGGTCTCAGTAATTATAATGGATAATCGTCTCGATCAGAAGATTAGGTAGCCTACTCTTTCTTTCGGAACGTTAATTAGAAATATCAAGAATTATTTTATAGAAATTGCGTATGCATTTTTAAATACGTGAAACATGAAATACCGGCTAAATTAGACTAAACGATAAATGATTGAAAGTAACACAAATCAAAGACATCTAAACCTGCCCAAAGCTACCGCAATTTTTGATGGAGAACTTTCTATGAAGCTGTACTGGTCCAGTTTTTCTTACTGATTATTGTGCCTTACTTATGTCAAGTTAACGCAGCCGAAACTATCCAGTATAAATGTGTTAAAATTAGTCTACCGGTCAGAGGGTATGTGGAATCTCGCTCTTCGTCTAAAAGAAGCAGTAGCTGGGCAGTAACAGATTTAGATCAATAAAATGAAAAATCAAATTGAGTCATAAGATGATAAAAGAAAAGCGGGATTGAATGATTACGTAAGCAAAGCGAAGAACTCAAAACAAGAAGTATATAAGATCATGGAATCATAGTCAATCCAAAGGAACTGCTCTTACTGAGAGGTATTGCAGCATTATGCAATTGAAGCACTTACATGCTGGTCTCACTGACTCTGTCTTGTATTCAAAGACTCTAGAAGTGTTGCCCTCCCCGACCAGTTAACAACAAATCAGTGCAAATTATCCAGAGTGACCAGCATCCAGCAGCTCGAAACTCCCAACCATTTCTCAGTGTTTATTTTGCATCACATGACTGGGTAGTGTGTGTCAAATGTAAACAAAACAGTCTGATAAAAAAAACAGTCGTGTTGTCACGTGGAACTGAAACGATGGATAACCGATATCACATTGTACATTTTGAAATATGCACCGAAAAAAACATGGACAATGCAAAAAGGTTAACAGAACAGCTTATTATCTGCTGGGAGAGAGGGGACTGGGATACCGGCATGACCTAGGCGATATCCTGGCGCAAACTCCTTGGAAGTTTGGGGTTGTAATTTTTCATTAATATTTTGAAAGTAGAGGTAACAAACTTCAGCTTGGAGACCGAGTGTTGATGGAATGAGAAGAGTGACGGATAAGGGAAAAGAAATGTGCAGATTATGAAATAGAGACGTAAGAACATTTGATGGAAAAAGCAAAAATGGGGGGAAATAAGAGATTATACACATTTCATAATCTCTAGGCGGAAGAAGTTGAAACTTTCGTAGATGTCTATAAAATCAGAAACAACGTTAAATTTCCAACTCTCTCTAAATTCAACTATCGGTACCCGAACCCGCTTTCCTTAGAATTTCCGTTGACATTTTTGTTGCGTTGCGTTACGTCGCATGCACATGCATTACGTTAAGCATGCATGTTAGCTTGTTAGTCGTTAACCACGACCCTTAAAAGGCGTAAGTTTTGTTCTATTCTGAGTTTTTCTTCTCCCTTTTTTAGTTATTTAGCTAATATGAATGTTTCCACAGTTTTGACACTTAATTAAATTTGTTCAAGCCACATGGTCTTAAGTTTTACAAGCTATTCATACCCTCGCCGGTGCAGTACCGCCGATGCAGGCATTTATACAGCGCAACAAAGGATCAACTCGATTGATATCTTTCTGTGATATATATACAAAACATAAGGCGTGTGACACACTAATTGTCATTTTATGTTCCTATAACAAAGGCCAGTGATTAGCAAATGCAAATTAGGTAAGAATAACTTCACACGTAGCAATGCACAATACAACAACACAACATTGTTTGGTGGGTATCTTTAGTTTACTTAAAATTGACGCAAGCTTGAAAACAGAACTGTCGGTCAAGAGCTTCTGATTCGTCTCAAAACTCAAGGGAGTATCTCATTCTTTCCTCGCCTGTACTTGTTGGACTCAGATTATGGTGCTATTCGTGGAATATCTATGTCTAGCAAATGTAATCTTCGCGTCACTGCTGGCGTTTATGATTTATCTGTTGATCGAATTATACCAATTGAGAGGGATGCCACCTGGTCCCCGATTAACCAGTCTTCCTTTCATCGGAAACCTGTTTAGCTTTGATTTTGATGCGACGACCTTCCAAGATGCTGTCGCCAGGTAAACACTGTTTTTTCTGCAGGTCAATTATGTTCCTCTGCATTAGTTTTTTTTTTTTTTTTTTTTGATAGAGCGACTTGACCCCACCGCAAACAAACTTCAGACTTGCTTAAAATGTCATCGACTTACTTTCTATCGATATAGATTATACGATGATTACATGAAGTTCAATTATTTTGAACTGCGGTTATAGATACGTATCATGCACGATCCTAGCAGTAGAGTGCGCTATTCATGCAATAGTGAAAATCAGACCTGAAAAAAATCAGGCCTGTACGGGATTCGAACCACTGACCTCTGCGATACAAGTGCAGCGCTCTACCAATTGAGCTAACAAGCCAACTGGGAGCAGGCCGTTAAGTTGATTCGTAATAAACCCGTGATGATAAATCAGATACGATGAATATATGAAGTTCACATATTTTGAACTGCGATTATAGATACATACGATGCACGAGAAATCAGACCTGAAAAAAAAATCAGGCCTGTACGGGATTCGAACCACTGACCTCTGCGATACTAGTGCAGCGCTCTATATGTATCTATAACCGCAGTTCAAAATATATGAACTTCATATATTCATCGTATCTGATTTATCATCACGGGTTTATTACGAATCAACTTAACGGCCTGCTCCCAGTTGGCTTGTTAGCTCAATTGGTAGAGCGCTGCACTTGTATCGCAGAGGTCAGTGATTCGAATCCCGTACAGGCCTGATTTTTTTCAGGTCTGATTTTCGCTATTGCATAAATAGTGCTCTCTACTGCGAGGATCGTGCATCATACGTACATCTAGATTATGGCGGCGTGCATAATGCATAATTGTGCAGCGAAAAGTTAAAAACCGTTCAAGTGGAAACGAAATAGATTGTATGTTATTAAAGGTTGTACTGTAGAAAGACAAATCGACTTAGAGTAGTTCAGACTCTTGAACTTCCCACCTTAGAAAAAGATCGGGTCATCCTCGGTGTAAAAACCTGACGAAGTTTTCTTTGTTTCATGAGGTATATTGTGTTGCTATACGCTATTGTTTTTAATGTTTTGTTGTCTTTGTTTTACGTTACTCGTGAGCTTTAGAGGTTTTTACACCTAGGATGAGCTAAAAGATCTCGATAACGAAGCGGTGGGAGTGAATATTACCTTCGCTGCCTTCAGACTCCCTTCCACTGCCGTCGACTCTGACACCAAATTAAACATGGCCGGTGAAATAAACGATCGTGCGCTTCTTAACGTTAACTCGCCCTAACAAGAAGACGCCTGCACTGCTGGCTAGGCGTTGACTAAGAATGAATTAATTAGGTTTCAGTGATCATAGTGATTAGCATATAAAGTTATCATTCAAGGCTAATTGTTGTCATGTTGTGATAGCTTGCGAAAGAATTATGGAAGACTGTTCTCCTTAAAGCTCGGAAGCTACAAATTTGTTATTGCTGGCTCAACAGAAGCTGTCCGGGAGGTACTGGTAACAAAGTCTTCCGAATACGGTGGAAGACCTAAGACCTACAGTTTGAAAATGTTGAGCCTTGGTGAGTATTCTGTGGGATTCTTTTAGGAAGGCTCATCTGTTGCAATCTTTTTAGTAATATCAGAGGCCAAAAGTATTTGCTTCTCTTAGTCATAATAGACAAAACGCTCTACTCTCTCTCTATGAAGATCTAGATTAAAAGCATTTCTCCTTTTCTGATTCTCTTCAAGAAGATATAACTTGATGTTTTTTTGTATTGTTTTTTTTTTTGTTGTTGTTGTTTTGTTTTGTTTTGTTTTTTGTAGGATGTGTCTAGTGTCTGTTCCATTGTTTATTCGTCCGTGTGTGCGTATTTAAACATTATTATTATTATTACATTTATATTATAGTTGTTATCATATCTATTTTTTGTTTTTACGATCTCGTCTATGTTCCATTAATAACAGTTCACACACGATTGCCGTGTTTTTAGCTCATAGTCACAAGCTCCATGGTTACCAAATAAGCTTCCCGTCAGCCAAAAAAATTATATGTTCACAAATAAATATTCCAAATATTTTCTGGAAAAATAATTATATCTATCGTGTTTTGATTCTTTCGTTAGGCTTCAAGAACATAGCTTTCAGTGACGGATTGTCGTGGAAGATTCATCGACGTATCCTTATCTCTGCCCTAAGACAACACATCTCCAATACAGCCGTAATTGAAGAGAGAGTGACTTACACGGCTTCGAAACTTCTGCGGATTCTTGAGGAACAGCACCAGAAGGACTTCGATCCCGCCGATTTTCTAAACCAGTGCATTGTGGAGGTCCTGGGACGAATAATATTTGGAAACGGCTGGGATCTTAGTGATCCTCAAATTAGTAACTTAATCCGCAAAAACGAACTCGGTTTAAAGAGCTATAAAGAATTTCAAGCCATCATGTTCCTGGACTTTTTCCCCTTGAGCCAATTATTTCCTTTCAGTTCGCGGAAAAAAATATTCGACATATTTCTTTCTACTCTGGAGATCATCCGCCTTAAGTTGAGAGAACGAATGGCAACTTTCGATCCTCAGGTACCCGGTTCTAATTTGATGGACGCCTTACTGCATGCCCAGAGGGAAGCTATGGAAGAGACCAAAGAAAACAAGGCTTCCCTTTTCTCTGAAGACCATCTGATCAACACCATACAAGACATGTTTACTGCTGGCTACGAGACTACTGCGCATGCACTGACATTTGCGTTGGGCTATCTGGTCCAGTACCCTTATTACCAATACGATATTCAGAAACAACTGGATGACGTCGTTGGTCGACATCGCATGCCACATCTGGAGGATCGCCCTAGACTGCCTCTTATCCATGCGACTATAATGGAAAGCTTGAGACTAGGCAACGTTGTACCCCAAGCGTTACCTCACCGAGCTGTAGAGGACACTTCCCTTTGTGGTTATCGAGTCCCTAAGGATACCATCGTGTATCCGGATACAGAAGGAATTCACCTTGATCCTGCTTGTTGGAAGGAGCCAAACCTTTTTAACCCTCATCGCCACCTTGATAAAGATGGGAATTTGATGACGAATCAAGGAAATTTTTATCCCTTTGGAGCTGGACGCCGTGTGTGTCCAGGCGAAACTCTTGCTAAATTGGAAATGTATGTTATCTTGTCTTGGATGCTTCACAAGTTTACATTTCTTCCGGAGGAAGGCAAGGGCTCACCTACGATTAAGCATCTAAGAGCAATCACTCAGTATCCAGCTCCCTTCAAGATCAGGGCTATGAAGAGAAACTGAATGGACGTCAGACTTCAACAAACTAGACGCTCGAGGAGCGTTCACTCGGGCTTCTTTTATAGCCATGGCATTTACACCAAACACGAGTACAATTGTAACATAGCTTGTAAATTCGAGAAATCAAATTCAATTGCGCGAACGTGCTTCAGTTTCCCTTTGTGCACGCCGGTGACTTAAGCAAACATATGCCTTGCGAAAATGTATAGAGTCATAGCCCTGGTATAATAATTTAATTGTTCAAAAACTAACAAAAAAAACACACACTTGTTTTTACCTAAATTATTTAGGTAAAAACATATGCCTTGCGAAGAAATCTTTTTCTCGCGAGTGACTTCAGCTTTTTTCATTAAAAAACAGGAAAAACTTCCGCTAAAAAGTTAAACTAGACATGGCAACAAGCGAACAAGCCGATGAGGATCTGCCTACTTTTTCTTTGGAATGGAATTTTTAACTCCCGAGAAAGAACCCAGAAAAAGGGAAAACAAAACAATCAACGGTTTCATTTCGTTTCGCAACTCTTCATTTCCACACATGAATTCACCTGTCAGCTTTTGACCAATCTGAGACAACATCATGGAGGCAGAGCGAAATACTTTTCCGAAACAAAATAAACAACGCATTGAAGCGTACGAGAGGGAATTTCTGCCCTTTATACATAAAATACCGCGTTGAAAATGTTATTGAACAATTGTTAAATAGGGATTATGTACGAAATACCAAATCGTACTTTACAAGTATTGAACCCAATAAAGCCAGCAACAGAAACAGGATATTTAACAGAAGAGCTAAGCTTATATAACCTTACTATTTAAGTTGCTTCTGCAAGTATCCTTATCCAATTCGCTGTTGTTAGCGCCACCTTCGAAGTTGTGTTCACGAACATTCTTGCTTTTTTCAGCAAGTCAGGTGTTCGTCTCAGCATCATAGTTTGTTGTTAAATCGGCCGTCACAGTTTTGCCAGTATTTTCGTTGTTTGAACCCACATATGGCTTATTTGTTATCTCGTGAGAACTAGTATGAACTTTCCACATTTGGCTAGCTTTCAAGCAATGAAGTTCTTGGACCGGACCATTCCGAAAACACTCGACATCATTTAGCGTGGGCCAACCACGAACAGTGTGTGCGTTTGCATGTGGGATAAGCTTAAAGGACAGGAATCTTTGCTAAGCGGTCTTCACAAAACGCAGAATTCCATAAATTACGTTGTTTACGAAGAGCGAGCTTAGGATAACACGAGTTGTCGCACTCTCATTCCCAGTTTCCGCGCTTACCGCAAGGAACGCCTGGGACCATGACCCCCCCTTTTGGCGACCAAAACGGCTTGCATTTTCAGACTCGGGCTTTCCTGCGGAAGCCCGAGTAAAAATAGGAAAATATTTCCTCAAAACTCCAATTCAACCTGGAAACAATGGACAAGAAGAGCCATCTCAAGGATTGCTCACAGCTGAATTTCTAATGAATGTTATTTTCCCTCCCATAATTCATTTAACAATAACATCATGACCTCAACAATTACCCTCAGTAATCGAGAGGAATTAATGTATAGAGTCATAGCCCTGGTATAATAATTTAATTGTTCAAAAAACTAACAAAAAAACACACACTTGTTTTTACCTAAATTATTTAGAATGGAACACCACTAAGCTACTTTCCATACTCACTAAATCTCGCATGATAGCTAATGAGTCGAGTAGATGTTTTGTTACATTTGCACGCAAATATGAGATCGTCCCTTTTTATTTCTCGCAAAAAAATAATTTATTAATAACTATAGATGCTTTGGATAAATTCTTTTGAATTTCACTAGTAAGAGGGCTGTACTTTCTATAATAAAGCGCGATAAAACTAGCAAGATAAAAGAGATATAGATATAATGGTTTACATTTGCATTAATTCCGCAATGATCGGAACTAAACAGGAATTTCCTCAACGTTATTGTCGACTATCAATGAATTTGAATGTCTATTATGCTCCCTCGTCAGTAAAGGGTGCACTAGCAAAAAGGGGAAATTATTAAATTATTATTAAATTTAAATTTATACCGCGCAGTTTCTATAAAAATATTCAACTGCGCCTAATGTGTCTATTGCTTTGATCAAAACAGTGAGAGCTTTCTTTTTCCGAGTTATATTTACGCTTACATACACAAAAAATTCAAAGGGTGTCGCTTTTATTGTGAAAACCAAAACCAATATTGTAAAACTAATAGTAAATTTTCATGATGATAGATAGCCAACGAGGCGCGTAGCGCCGAGTTGGCTATAATCATCTCATATCCAACAAGCGCGAGTGCCATAATTTTTATATTAAAAACGCCCCCAATATATTAGACAAATCTTACCAAATCTTAAATTTTTTAGCCCCCTTTTAATTTTAGCCCGACGTGTACGCTTACCATATTTGTAGATTATGGTATATTGGCTCATCTACCATAATGGGTAAGCCAATAAAAAGTCTTCAATTACATTATCCAATGATCTAGTTTTTAATAATTCAAATTATACAAGTGTTGCAGGAAAAGGCAAGCTCTGCTTGCTACAAATATAAGTTTTTGTTTTCGTCTGTTCGCGTAAATTTCCACATTATATATTCTGAATCTAAAACACTATATAAATTTGTCGTTTTGTCTGCTAAAGATAACTGGTTATCATCCAAGTCTGCCGTTTAATTTCGAGTCTTTTTAAATCTTTGTTATTTGCGAGGTCGTGAAATCCTTCATGCTGACTTGCATTAACCTTTTCGTTTATTAGCAACTGCAAAGTGAATCAGAAGTAAAAACATCAGCAATTGGGAAGTTCCCAAG